ACCCCTGCCACGAGAAGGCAGTGAGTAGGACTTCCCTGGCAGAGGCTATATACGCGTGGCTATATGAGAGCATTTCGAGAGGGAGAGCCGGCTCCCCCCACTCTCTGCTGTACCAGGGCATTTCGGGACATTCACTACACATTAATCTATCAATTGTGATAAATGTGTACCTTCCCAACGAGAAACACTCTCAAAATCTTATGTTAATAATTCATGCATCTGTTTAGAGTGATATGGATCAAAACTAAGATATATTTTCCCGCAAAAAAAGACATCAATTATTATGGAGAAGAGTCATTAATTATTATTGTATGTATATAACTTTAGTTAATTCATGTTAAAAAAGGGAATTGATTGATTTTAAGCAGATACAATACATTGACATTTTCCATAATAAAATAATTATATATGATTGACAGTAGTATTAGTATTAGTGTAAGTAGTTAGATAAAAGATATGATCAGCCATGATTCATTACTATTATTATCAAATAGTTTTAAAAGACCGAAATAAGCAACGCGATAACAAACAGAAGTTAGTTTACCTAATACTGGTTGGAATAAAAGGTTATACCTGAAAAAGTGTGAGGTCATTTGAGAAAGAACGATGACAAAAAAACTGGTGTAATTAGATAAAAAAGAAAACACCTCATAAGAATAGTTTGTCAGCGTAAGAACTTTTAGTTCAATCATTGATTCTTGGTTGCAACAAGATAATTTTCTTGATTGAGATCATGAATCGATCGATGTTAGACCACTATTGAAAACCTGGGAGCACTGCACGGCAGTTTCGTGGATGCACACTGTTGACGAGTCCCATACCACAACTAAACTGCCGTCTAGTGCTTTCATGTTTCCAATAGTGGTCTAACATTGATCCATTCATGATATCAATATAAGCTTAACATTCTCCACAACCCTATAGTGATAATAATGTTAAAATATTACAAAATGTCCTTTAATACCGTCTTAAATCAACCCAAAATGTCTGTCTATGAAACTAGATAAATAACACTTGTTTGCTGATATTATGAATCCATTTTTTTAATGATTTTTTCTTATCTTTGATAACGTAACACACCTAACACTGATGCTTGCGTAAATAAATGTTAACTTTATTATTCTGTCACTTTGAAAATGAGGCCCGCGTAACTATATATGAAGCTCTTTATTAGAATTCTTTAAATAGGTTAGTCAATATTTTCCTGAAATCCCGTAGATAACTGATATATATATATATATATATATATATATATATATACGAGTTAGACGTATCTGTACCGAGGGTACATCTGATATCACACTTGATAAAATACGGCTGATTCTGATGAACAATGGATATCCATAGATTCATTGAGAAAAATCTGAAGTCAATATAACAAAGTAAAAGAGTGTCCAAAGCACCAAAGAAGACTCTCTTCAGGAACATTCACTTTTAAGGATACTGTAGCAGAAATTCTGAAGAATAGACTTTCAAGATCTCTATGAAAAACGTTCTATTCGGCTGAATTCCGGATCATCTTTTCTAGTCGACCTATGATTCGAAGTTGTGTGAAGGATAAGCTTTCGCTTTGAGTTAAGCCAATGTGCATCTATCAATTTACTCGGTCATGTGGAGTAGGTTATATTGACCACACAAAGAGACCTCCTTCGAAAAGCACTTCCGAACACTACCCACCTGGCTCTTCAGAGGATTACAGAGGTCAGTCAAAAGCTCGGTCTTGGAGAAGCTAGTATATACTGACTACTCCGCTTCTCCAGAAGTCACCTTCGAAATCACACATTCAGTCAGAAGAGTCGGCTCAATAAGAATGAAATTCAAAAACCTATATACAGCAAGGGCTATTGCTACCCACTAGTTCAAGCCTAACCCTTGCACATGAAAACATTTGGTTCAGTTCTTCTTTCTTCCACCGTCTCAACCTTTCTTTCTACCTTCCATAATCTGTCGTTTTTGTTTCTACACTTTTCCATTATTTTCATGAATACTAATCGGCCATTATTACAAGTTTTAACTATTTTTAGACAAATGTCTTCACCTTACCACTTTTTCATTAGCCGATAATTACATAACTTTCTTTCAATATCCGATTTTCAACTATTGACAACACATCACTTCAGGTGCTTTATTTATCATCATTCTATCTTACTGTAGAAGATTGTCTTAGCAAACAAAATTAGCTGTACGATTGTACAGCTTAGGTAAATGAATCCGTAGAAAAGAAAAATTTCTCCGCCGCATTGCTTACTTCCTTCCTCAATGACAATGCATTTCTTTCGTTAATATCTGATTAGTTGGTTAACCATAAATTATTTATAATTATATTCCGTGATATACATTATATTTATCATTGATTTCAGAAAACTCTCCGTCCAAATGTTTACATTCCCATATACATATTCTACAATTAAGTCTCTTAAAAATTGTTGACTACCATCAAGATCAATACCGTGGGAAGATTGAAGTAAAATGATACTACTTGCTAGTAGTTAGCAATAATACCAATAAATTAAAAAACATTGGCTCAAAATTAAATAACATGACTATCAATGAAGTTAAGTATTTAAGGATGATTTTCATGTAAAAAAAACAAGTAATCCATGAAGGTTAACTTTGATCACTTATAAACTAAGATGAAAAATATTTATGAAATTCGGACAATGTCTACACCGCTACACGACATTAAAATCCTCCCATGCAATCACAACTTTCATATTGCAATATCTGATATTCTAGTGACCAGGAAAATAAAGAGATCATTATTTTACGTGAAGTTGTAGAAACTATAAGCATACGTGGTCTGTTTGCCAGTCATGTGGAGACAATATAAATACCTAACCAAGGTTCATTTATTTCAAATTCACATCCATGTACCCAGGACAATTAATCTTAGTTATTTTGTAAAGTCTAGCGACAATCCATTCTACTGATCAACTACTTGAGTAGTCAGGACGTTACTCGTAACCAGAAACTGAGCTAACTTATGTGGATCACGACCTTAGTGAAGTAGATTACTAAGAAATCCCAGTAATTCTTCTCACTAACTTCTTCAGATGCAGCAAAAGCAAGACTTGACTGAGTCCTACAATACCTGCGGTCATTACCCTTCCGTATGTGATCACGCATATTAAATAGAGCACAATATCAAAATGAGAATGTGTTGCTTCCCTGTAAGCTCCCATAAACCACAAAATTCCCAATGTGAGAATCATCTGTACCATCACGTTAGTCATGACTGGCAGTTAGCAAAGATATGTACAATAAAACGACTACCCGTCTATTGTCTACAGTGTACACAATTCAGCCCAATAAATTTTGCTGCAAAAGTTTGGGAAAAGTACAACAATATTCCAGTGTTTATATCTCGGTTTTCTTAAATCTATAGCTGTTATCTACCATGGTGACAAAATTGTTTAGTTTCAAACATATTTAATGGTTTGCCTTTTGTTACCTAATTCAACTAGTTCCTTACACACTAAATTATTATTATTTCGGCAGATGTAGTTAGCTGACTGATTTGGTGTACATTAGGATTCACGTAAACAATAATTTAAACTTTTCCCAAGAATTTTCCCCATATGATGTTTCCAATAATCATAAGGTTTTACCTTTGACTGGCCTGCATAAAAACTACATGAAAACAGAAACAACCGACATATCAACTTATTGTCATGTCAATTGCAAGAAATACATTTCCTCACACACCCACAGTCTATTGATTCTGTTCAAAACAGTAGTGGTCCTTTAAGTATATAGTTATAGGGTCAAATTTTGTTCTATTTACTCCGGCTTAAGCAGTCGAGATGTTCATTGGCTCCAACACTTAAATTGTGACGAATGGACAAGCTTACTTTACTACTGGGTTGGAACAACTCGACTGGAGAGAATGGACATCATAGTTATGTGTATATTTTGAGTATTAACAAAACTTAAACGAACTAGCGACATATGATAGTAGTATAAACCTATATATAAATGAGAATCCACGTCAACCAATAGGAGTTATCAGCATACTAGACGAGTGAGCTATAAAATCGGGGTAATTTGAAAACTTACTGCCAAATAACGGATTTCACAGAGATGATCAGGCGGAACTGAATCAACCAGTTTCAAAGAAACTAGTGCACAGAAACTAAAGAACCTTGTTTGGAAAAGATATAGTTCGAAAGATTTTCTAAATAGTGCATTGTTTGACTACCGATAAATAGCAAGAACTCCAATATGGTGAGATAAGCATTACTTACATTTTCAAGTGTAAATACATGCATAGTTATATAAGCTTGTTCAGAGAGCGATTGAATCATCCATAAACAAAGATTGGCAAGACATCTTCATTTTGAAAGAAAAACTATAGGTGGATCTAAATCACCAGAATAGATTAAAAGCTTATGACTTTTATAAAACAAATAACAGTTTATTGGTATGTATAATGTGATATGATACATATTTTTGGAGGAAGTGTTATAAGAAATATATAAACACTGTAGGACGTAGGAGAAATGTGTCACTTCGAACTGGCATACTTCACATAATCATTAAGAAGTGAATGAGATAGAAAGCAAAACGGAAAATAATGGTATCAACAGTTTCAGGAGACTTATAGAGGAAGTCAGGAGAAACTACTGAAATGAACAATTAAGGATAATCCTGTGTATATTACTAAAAGGAAGACGAAAGTGAACACATGAAGATCACCGTTACCTATTTTGAGGTATATTACTTCATGCTCATGAATCATCGATTACAATTACCTTGCGTACCCAAACTAAGAAAGTCTGCAAGTATTGAACTAATGATCACACATTACGAGCAATATATTGGTTCAACTGCCATCAACCTTTTTCCAATCCACTCCTATCCTAGTTAGCGTAAAACACTTAGGTAGTAGACAGGACAAATGAAAAAGAATCGTAAGAAGTTAGAATAAAAATAAAAGATAGCTACATGATATGTTTGGTGGAATGCAAGTAATCAATGAAAATCAGAACAGGAATAAAATACTAGTTAATTACATACATTCCCTTTTCTACTTGGTCACATATGGTTTTTATTTGATTAGCGAAGAATTCGTAATTAAAAGGTTGATTCCGAGCATAAAAGGGATTTTTCAACACAAAATCTGTATAAGCCTCGTACACCCTGCGGAGAGCCTCTCGGGAAGCCATTGGTAATTTAACATCAGTAACAAGTAAAAATTTAACACCGGTATGGGTTTCCAAACAATGAACACGGCAACATTCCGTTTCCAACGTTTGGATACCAGAATTCCAAACTCGTGGAGCCTTTTTATCATTAGTCGGAGCAACAAAGCTGAAGTTGGAATCCGGAATTGGGGAGAGAAGTCGGGCCATTGAGTGTAATGGATGGAACATACTAGCAAGATGAATTCGGTCATTTGGACGTAGTCGAGGACTTCCAAGTTTGATAGTCAGCGGAAAGTTGTCTTTATCTGAAAAAACCTCCAAACAAAAATCATTGATTATCAGCTTCTCAAACGGTAAACCTCAGTATAAAAAAGTGGTTACCAAAAATTATACCCGGTAGTATGCTTGAAGGTAGATATCATCACCAGACAAAATTAATACCTGGCTACAAGTCTCCATTGAATTATTAGTAATATAAACATTGGAAAGACCAAGTTTTTGAATCCTGGTATACAACCGATTAACAACGTATTCTCTATATATTTATTAGACACATCAATAACAAATTAGCGTGAATGAAATTATTGTTTTGAAATTGAAGAACTACGGAGGATCGACCTGATCCCAAACTAATGGTACATGTGGGATCCAGGATCCCAAGAGGACAAAATGGCATATGACCTTATTGTTGGTCACCGACTACCATGGGACTGCATCTCCTAAAGCTGTCCCACTGCCTTGTGAATTAGACATTTAGATCAAGGGCTCCGAGTATTGTCCCCCAAGAAAGCCACCTGCTTTAGTTTTGGCACATGGGCAGTATCTCAGCCCTCACATAACTCAAATGATTTGTGAGACACATATATTTAGTGCCCCTTAGTGCAGATGTTTATGTGTTTAAATAAATAAATAATAAATTTAATCATTAAATGGACATAGAGTAGTGAACTGAGCTAGTGGTTGAAAGTTTTGCCGCTTTTTGATGGGTAGGTCATACGTCCAAAAATAATTAATTGTACTCTCTGGAAGTGTTTGGAGATATAATGGTGAGCAGTATAGAAATAGGGAAAACTAGAGAATGTACACTCTCTGACCGTTTTATTGTGCTCTTCGGTGAAGTGTCTTGAAATTCTTGAATGGGTTTAGCGCTAAATATGGCAAAAAAAAACAAATCGATTTGAGTCCGTAACTGAAACCAATACCTAGTGGATAACCGAAAGGTTCTTTCCTAGGTCATTTACTCTTCAAAACTGTATGTAAATGAACTCCCAAGAATGGTTGAGTCTCCGATGCTACTATACGCTGATATAAAAATTTGGTGGGAAATAATAGGAGACGCAGATGCATGCGCGCTCTAGGCAGACCTAGATATTCCGATTAGCTGGTCAAAAAATGGCTGATGCCTATTAACACGGCCAAGTGTGTCTACATGCACTTTGAGGATACATTGGTAAGCAGGTACATCATAGGGGAAGTGCCTGTAGCCGTGGTCCGGTCTCACAAGGATCATAGGGTGACCGAATCGTGATCTTAAGACCACGGTCTACTGTCGGGAGATTGAAGCTAGGAGGTTTAGAAGATGACTCAAATATCCTGGAGAAGTACAGAGTACTAGTATTTTCAGACTTAGGACATCTACTTCTAAGGATTAGACGTGATTGTCTGCTTTCAGTTTGTATAATCCAAAACTACTTGAGTTTTACGCTTAAATTGCCTCAAAAAACCAAGTGAATGAGCACATTGTGTTAGCTTTGGTCGACTCGATGTAAATGGGACGTGAAAGTGAATATACTGCACAAAATACATGAATCCCAAGATTACTTACTTTCAAAATATCCCTGTTATCTTCCAGAGATGTGCCTTTAGCTGTAATGCCATCAACAGAAATTACAGTATACCCTATTTTTACATCATCACATGCACCAAAATCCACAACAATACGACCATCCATAGCTTTGAATTGGAACGGGAGTGGGAAATCGTATTTCTTTTCTACTTCCACGTTAACATCAGAATGGTCATAATAAAACTGCAGTGAACCAGATTCACTTATCACATAAAGCCCATATACACTCATTTTTGTGCTAAACGTGATTCAGATTTAGAAAATCAAGTATGACAAATGAGGAAGCATGTGCATATATACATACACTAGATCCGTGATATGGATTTCAATTTTATTGGTGATCAGACACAAGGCTTAAAGATAGATCAGTTTTCTCAACGAATTTGATTCGTCTTATCTGAGAGGGATTTAAGGTGCTAGGTCTCCAAGATCACCATAAAAAAGACGAGTGATTGATGCTAGACCTTGAATTCAAATCGTCGACGGTAATTTCTTTAAGATCACGGTTAGTCGTAATGATACAAAATACTGGATTGTAATAGTGATTCGTATCCGAGATATGTATTCTACCGTCAGCGAACTAGACATATTTAGTTTTAAGGGAGCAAAATGGATCTGTATCGAAGTTTTTGTTTCTTCGATAATTCTGAGGTCTGTGACTACTGATTCTCCTGTTTAACTTAGCACTTCGGGTTCTGGGGACTACTCCGTTTAATGACCATACTTTTGGTTGAGTCTGTTTGGCTGAAATGGATGTAGTAATGTGTAAACTCATCGCGTTTTATAATCACAATAAAAAGACCATTTTTTCTTTGCTTTATTACTTTCTACATGTAACCACTTTTATATCCAGTGTCTGTTCTTTATTTGCGCCGGTAAATAACTCCATAAAATCAATAGCTCTTTAAGTATTTGATATTGATGCTGACCACATTGGTTTTAACGGACTTATCTAGCAGAAGGCGCTCGGTCACTCATCCGCAACAGAACACGAGTGGGTACGCCGTGCTCCACATCTCCTACTACCGCTAGCCAGCTTAGATAGATTACTTCCCACTATACCGAAAGCCTATCAAATATATCTTCGAACCTCTTCGTTTCTGACTTTTAACTTGACTGGATTGGCACATCTCTAATATAAAAGGTGTTACTGGTTAGGACGTCAAAACCGGAATACTTGCGGTATATTTAGATCGATGTAAATAAAAAGCAATAACTAACTGCTTAATACCCAGGTTACATTGTTGATGTTCAAATAAGCACTGTTTACATCATTCTTTTTTGAGCTTTTTTGGTAACAGCTTAAGATTGAAGAGCATAATTGTGTTGGAATGTTCTTTGAGGTCACCTCCCACTGCCTGAAACCACTGGACTGAATTATTTTTCATTACCGCGGCTAGATTTATATTGCTCTTTACTCCATGGGTGTCGATCATGAAGAAGGAATATTTGATAGTTGAGTGAATTCTGATTACAATAGCTGTACCAGAAAGAACTTGGGTGTAGCATTCATCACATAACTTTTGTTGCCATATTGTCATGTTATGTTCAGCTTTGTATCAAGTGTTATTTTTCCATCATTTTCTAACTGTTTATTTCACTTAATGGCGTTAGAATCTTAAATTATGTATTGTTATTTGAGTTGCATATCATAATACTTGATTAGGTTCTCCTACGAGTCCACTACATGACTGAGTCTATCCTAAATGTTGGAAGATTTGTTGTTTAGTACAGTTAACGTCCCACTACGTTACTAGCTAAATGATAATGTTCCTGCCTATTTTCGGTTAAAATATTATCTCTAGCTTGTAAGGACACTTTCTACTTTTTTAAAGTACTTATTGTATATTTTTAATGTTTGGCTGATTACTATTCCCAAATGATATCCCAAGTCTGTCTATTTGGTAGCGGCCGTATTGTCTGGATTGTGCACGTGTGTTTCGTTCCATCTGTTTCGTTTATGGTTATATTTATCCTTCGAGTTCCACCTATCTTCATTGCCTTTTACACTTTTCTACGTTACTATACAAAATTAATCTGTCACTATGGAGTTTTGCCATAATGAACTAGGGTGCAACAGTGAAAGTCCTCCAATTCACTATTTCTACCTTTCGCTAACTTGGGAATTTACAAACGAAGCTTAAGAACAGCAGAACAGGTTGATGGAGGGATTTACAGAGCACTTGAATAGACCAGTCTCACTGAACCCGATGGACATTGAGCAACATGCACAGATGATACCCCACAAACAATGAAAGGGTTTTTCAGGTTCACAAGACAAAAAAGAACGTAAAGTATATGTGGAGATATGGTATTTGAGATGAATATTGATTCATTTGTATCTGACTGACTGTTGATCACGGATTTCAAACACAATATGTTCATTTGTGTTCATCTAGTCCTACCTGCCATAAATAGAACTATTTTGTGAACTTCTATTTGGCACATTAATTTGGATACTCCCAATTATCATAAGAGATAATTGCACAGATGTTAGAGGTTCTTTTCTGAAAGATTTGAGAAGGAAATAAAACATCAGTAGACTAGAAAAAGAGATTTCTCATGAAGATATCAAAGAAAAGATGTTGATAAATTCATGAACTACAGAGGTATCAAACCGCAATTTGTAGCATAGAAAAACCTCGACATAAAATCTGTGAGTTCACCTGATTGTTTCTGTACGTGTATATGCCTGTTTATGAAAATCGCTTTGTGTAAATGCTTAAAGTATAGATAATACTTATTATATTTACTTTTCGGTAGATGAGAGTGCTAACATTCCTTTTTTCATGATTTCGGGTTTTCTTTGTGTGCTTTATGTCGAACGTTTTCACAGATACTGTTACGTTAACTCCAGTTGAGGCGTTTTCACAAGTCACTAATTTAAATTAGCCTAAAGCCCAACTGCTTGATGTATTTATGATTGATTATTCTATTTTACTGAATAGATCTATGGGAGGAGCGGCCTAGTAGAGCTGTAGTGGCATTGGGTCCCAACCACAAAATCCTCAAAGTCGAACATGAGACAACTGGGAAAACAGATATTCAACATTTGACGCGGAGAAAAGCCCAAGTATGGAGAAGGCGGGAAGGATGAATACAAAAGGTTCGAATTGATCGGACGGCATGGCTCGGCCTTGAAGGCATGGTCTTACCTACGTAACATTATTTTTATCCATATCAAATATGGTTCTATCTCTAACCTAAGTTTGTTTCGCATCATATATTGATGATTGTCACAACGCGACGAATCAGGACAGACGATGGCGTGACTTTCACGTGAGATCTTGCAGGTTAGGCAGTTATACCATAGCGATTTTAGGATCAGGTCTATTATTAGAGAAGTACTAATATTGAAGTAGGCTATAATCCTACAGAGCTAAGTGTTAAGATAATTTCATGTGATTATTGTGGAGTTTTACGACGGAAAAGAACGAGCATCTAATGTTCCGCTTGGATCCAAGCCATACCATTTTCGAAATAACAGTGAAAACTACTAATCTCGAGATGTATAAGGTGGTTTTCGTTTATTGACTAATTCACGACTCTGGACAATTGTTTGACAACCCGTTGGACGTAGCTTCTCACCAGATACCTTCAAGAGTAACCTGTTTCGATGGAGAACAGGTCAGGTGCATATCGAGGAGCTCAATAATAAAATTTGCTGGAAGGAGTCAGGAAACACTGTACGGAAACCACTAGGCCGCATCGCAAGTCAAGTTCTAGCTTGCATTTTGCGGAGAAGAGAAAAGAAAAATAATTGAACATATGGTGCTGCATATAGGAGGCAGGCATCAAGAGTACAAATAACACCTGACAACAACTGAAAAGAAGAGCCCAGAAGTTAGGTAGTGGCACGAGTAATTGTGTAATGAGGCCTCAAATTGTGAAGCTATATAATGTGAGTATGAACCTCATGGTGAACTCTAGTTCCCTCAAGATTACAGTCACACCTTGTCGACACTCATCGACTAACACAGAACCTGGTACAATTATGGTTTCATATCTATCGCCTTCAACCACCTAACACTCCTACAGTACCAAACCACAAATCAAGTGGGCATTAGATAGAATATCCACATTGGTTTTCACTGAAAGGATGAACTAACTTCTTGTGTTATACGAAGTGATTAACAATATCAAAGTCTGAAACGGCATATTCATTTTGCTTCTCGCTGCAATTATACGGGCTATTGTGATGTCTAATGAAAAAGTATCCTGACTGATCCTTAAGAATGATCTCTTATTCATAGATCCTCCAATATTAACTTGTTGATTAAATGGAATAGGTGAGGATTGTCAATAAAATATAGTTCGCACACGATAATAAGATTGATTGGCTTCCCGTAAAATATGGAATGAAATGAACCATGAACTATTCCACTTGAAATTCAAATGCATGGGCACCAGTTACTGCTTTCTTAAGTATCCAGAGGATTACGTCGCATAGAATCTACAACCTACAGTATTTTTTATTTCACACATATCGAACTGAATATATATAACTCTCATCCTTGAGCCACTTTTTTTGAACTGATCACTAACGACTGATAGTTTAACCTCTCCTAACTTCCATTTCTATATGCAAATAGTCCTAAAGGTTTGATTACTATAGGCGCTGATGACCATAAAACTCTCCTACTTCTAATAAAAAAGTGCAGAACACCAGTGGCGATTATTGGTGATAAGTCCACTTCTTTTTTTCAAAGAGATCATGCTGAAGATGCGTTAGACACAATATAGCCGAGTGATGTTGGTTGCAGAGTACGATATTGTAAAGACACACAAGGTAAAGGAGATTAACGACTGGAAGAGTTATATATATCTAGGTGGGACTGTAATAGTACACATCACACCTAGGGATATCTCAGGTATCCAAAGTTTGACAAAGCGTTCATACGTAACACCTTTATAATAGAAGGATAACCGCATAGTCAAATCGAAATTAGGAAGTGAAGGGGTTCGAAGGGTTTCGATATGCCGAGAAGCATTTGATCGTAGCCGAGTAGTGGCTGAAAAGGATGCGTGGAACGACGTACCCACTCACAATTCGGTGCAGATGTGTGGCTGCAAACCCTCAGTTCGGGTGCGTCCAGTAAAACTAATGAGGTTAGCACCAATATAGAAGACTTACAGGACTATTGATTTGAGGGTTTATTTACCACCACACAGAGAAAAATTAGTCAGCGAAGGTTGACGTTTCATAACCTGTCGGGGAGCAATGAGTTTAT